TCATCAGTGGTATTATGTTCTACCAAGAGGCACATAACGTCTAGTTGTCTCTTCTTTTGTGACATGAGCAGACTGTTGAAGCTCAGTGCCTCATTCCATTAGTCAACTAAGGTTTGCAGACTCATGATATTTTGACGCAGTCATTCCTTTTCATTTATGAGCTGAACCATGAAACTTGCCTGATCTACTATTGGTTTCCCAGTAATACAGTCTGTATAGGAAACAAGAATAAATGCTGATTCTTCTTTTATGTACCTACTTTCAAAACAATGAGTTAGTTCCCTGGTATCATGCAATAGTGACCAATTTTGTGTGTGTGTGTGTGTGTGTGTGTGTGTGTGTGTGCGCGCGCGCGCGCGCTAATTGTTAAGACATTCCTATGCCAGTTACAGCATGATAGAAGTTGTCAGTCATCTTGGTAATATAAAAACTTTTAGGATAACTTACAGTCATGGACTCTGACCTTCCAGGTTTCTGAGTGTTGAAAATGACTTTTTTTCCAATCTTAAAAATATCACATCATCTGTGGTGTGACTTGGGCAGGGAATGGGTAAGTTAAGGTTGATTTATGCTGGGCTTCATCTCCAGCCACACTTGTGGCTGCCTAAGAGCACTGATGATATTCATCTGAATCAACATGTTTGGTGATGATGCCAAGTCACTAGGACTTTGGCCAAGATCTTGATGTGCAGACCCCAGGCTGTTCCATTGCTCTAATTTAAACCCTTTCTCCTTCAGGAGGTGTTGGAATTGGCCTTCTCCATTCTGTATGACCCTGATGAGACCTTAAACTTCATTGCACCTAATAAATATGAGGTGAGCAGTGTGGCGCTGCCTTGGACAGCAGAGCCATTTCTGTAACTCTTCAGTTGGTGGCAGGAATGAGCAGAACAGGAACGTCCCCTGTGGTGGGTGGCTGCAGTGTATCATGAAGGCTGTAGAATGCCAGGGATCTGCCACACTCTGGGTTGTTTATCGGTGAGCTGGGCTCTCCACATTACTCTTCAGCAGCAGCCATAGGTTGTCATTACAGAGATAAGGTCAGCTAGCAATGATTCATTTACCTGGGACCAGGAAAATTCTCCCCTTTTCAGTTTCTCTGTGGTCAACTACCCAAGAGAACTTGACAGATTTCCTCCTAGGTGCTGCTGGTCACATGTTGTAGTGAATCCAGTGTGGACTTTAAAGCCAGATGGAACTGGTCCTTCTGACAACAGGCTTGTAGTTCCATCTGCAGCACTGGAAGATACTAGCTATTAAATGGGTGATTGCATTTGAGACCCTGCGTGTCTGGTGAGTTCTGAGAGCCATCAGTGGGAACTAGAGGTGGGGCTTCTGGAAGAGGAAACACCTGGGCAGGGCCTGAGCTACTGCTAGTGGAATTTTGTTGGGAGGAAATGGAAGAACAAGCAGGTAGGGAACCAAGTGAGCAACAGCACGGAACAAGGAAAATGGCAGCAGAGGAAGCAGGAAGAGTTAGGGAGGGGTAGGATCAAAAGACTTCCTGGTCACACCCTCTTAGCATAAGACCCTCCAGTTCCATTTCTTTAGTACTTTCTCTTTAATATGTATTGACTGGATTGTTTTTAATTTACTTTTTTGGGGTGAGGGGAACAAAATTGAGATCCCACGATGACTCTTGTTTATGTCTTTCTTCTTTTCACCTAATACACATTTCCCTTCTCTCACTTCTGATTTTGCAGTAACTTCAGGTAGATGATGCCCTGGTACTCAGATCTCATTTTGCTGTATTCATTCATTGCATTTTTAGGTTCTATTTCATATTTGGAATGATTGCTATCATTCCAAATCAGTTTTGCCTATACTGATAAGTTCCAAAAGGAACTGTTGTGAGTCCCATCACAAAAGAAACCTTGGCAGAATCTCCTGCTGACCAGGGGTCGCCATGTGACCTTTTGCAATTTGTTCCCCACAGTACTGCATCTGGATTGATGGCCTCAGTGCCCTTCTGGGGAAGGACATGTCCAGCGAACTGACCAAGAGTGACCTGGACACCCTGCTGAGCATGGAGATGAAGCTGCGGCTCCTGGACCTGGAGAACATCCAAATTCCCGAAGCCCCACCCCCTATCCCCAAAGAGCCCAGCAGCTATGACTTTGTCTATCACTATGGCTGAACCTGGAGCCAGAAACGACGGTACCCAGGAGAAAGGATTTTGGGCCCAGGAGAAACACTTACAGTCTGGTGCCTTGTCTTTTGCTTGTACAGAATCTGTAGTGATTTTGGTGGCCAGTAAATGCCAGCCATTTCGCAAACCCACCTTGGACCACCTAGAGTTTCTTCTTGGTCCCTGTCTACTAAGAGTCACGAAGACAGGGTGCTCTGCCCCCTCCATCACCATGAAGCCTGGGATTGGGCCATGAGGAACAAACAGCAGATACCCTTGCCTTCCAGTCCAAGAAACTGCTTCCTGAAATGGATTTAACAATAGCCACTCACCTTTTCCTCCTGACCCTGCTCTCTGATCAGCTGGATCCCCTCATGAGCAAGAGCTGGCCCAGGAAAGGCTGCCTGCAGAGGACAGGTGTGCTGGGCGTGTCGATAGCCTTGGAGTGACTGCCTGTATCTCAGATCTGAGTACAGGCCTGAGGCCTTTGCTTTTGTCTTTTTTGGTGAGGGCTCACTCCAGCTTCATATGGTGCCAAGATGTTGCTGCTTCTGAGGCCGGCTCTAACATCTCTGGTCTTTAGAGCCACCAGATCTCTCTGGCCCATACAGATATCAGAGCAGATGGAAATTTCTCCCTGCCAGCTCTCAGACTCATCCTGGCAAGTCAAAGACCTCCAGGCCAAGTCCTGCCCTCTTAAGTCTCCAGGAACGCTGCAGGGAAAACCCAGCTGAGGCCTGGGCCTAGATAGTGGTGAGGTCATTAGATTCTGCCCCTCTCCCCCCACATTTATACCTTTTCCTTCCTCAGAGAGAAATCTCCCACCTAACCTGAATTGCAGCTCCCTCCAGTTTGCTTTCCTTTGGCCTTCCAGACCCCAGGAAGTTTGCCTTCCCTTCCTAGCGCTATGGTTTCTACCACTGGCCATGATTTCAGGGAGCTGGCCGAGGCCGGCTGAGGCCACACGTGTACCAGTGGGGCTTCCCTGGTGCTGCAGCACTTGTAAACCACACACACAGCCTCTCTCCCTGGACATACGTTAGCACATTGGCATTCAGTATTGGTGGCCTGGCATGGTAGGTACTACCCAATGAAGAGTGTACTATATATTTTCTTTACTATAGGCCGTACTTATACAGACATGTATATATATTTATATAAGATCTACCTATCTTAGGGTGGAACCTTGGAGGAAAATTAAATTGAGGGGAAGTAAAAACTACATAACACCTCCAGTTGTGAGCCAAGATTGCAACCAGAGAGCAGCCAGGAGCTTCCTGTCAGTAACCATGTTTTCAATAAATACTCTTTCATGTACAAACTGTGGTTCCTACTAACAGCTGTTTGTCTGTACTTGCTCCCTGCCCAAAGGTGAAGATTTCACCTTGACAAGACTTCATCGCAGTGTGTCTGGGAGACTCCGGAGAGCTCCAACTGGAGCCCTTAGTCTCCTTCCAAGAGTCCCTTCCTCCTCCTCATTCGCTCTTCCCACACATACAGACACACAGACACATACCTGCTGCTGAAGGATGCTCACAGATTGTTGTACTGGGACAAAGCGTTTCTGCTCAACCCTGCTGGGTACAGCAGGGTAAGGCATACTGTACACCCCCATGAACACATCCTGCCTCTTCTCCCTGCCAGGGACACAGCCAGGCAACAGCTCAAGTACTTGTGCCTTACAAAGAAGACATGCTCTTTACCCTGTGTGTTGCCTATGCTTAGTGCCCAGCCTTCCAGCTGGTGTTTTAGGCTGTTGCTCCAAACCTTGGCCTTGGTAGCTGGGAGGCTTGAATGAGGGTGATGATGAAAATAGGTACTTTCTCTTGCCTCTTGAGAGAAAAGGGTGTGAGGAAAAGCTCTTTCAAAAGGTATAGAAAGCGCATGTAATACAGGCCTTGAGGGCTGAATAAAGCCAAGACCTTGGGCAGTGATGGGTACCATTGTAGGTGCTTGGTAAGCATTGAATGAACTAATGCCTGCATGATGCCAGCTGGCGGCAGTGACGGCAGCAGTTTGCACAAAGCACTGCTTACACTCTGGCCTTGAGCCTTCTGTTCAGAGGGGCCAGGGATCCATGTTTGCAGCTGGTCTTTCTGCCAGAGAGCCCAGGAGGAGGCTGGAGGAGGGCAAAAAGCACAAAACTGGGTCTGAATGTGCAACCCTAGCTTGCCCTGCCCCAATGATCTTGGCTGCAAATTCTGCCCTTTTCATCCATCCTGCAAGATGAAGAAAATCTGAACTCCCTAGGTTGGCATTTTGGGGCCACAGCAACCTGCCCCTTGGCTACTTTTGAACCACCACAGTTATAAACCTGTGCCCCAGGCACGGCTAGAGCCTTCTCACCCTCCTTTAGGATCCTGCCATCTCCTCTGGCTGGAATGCTCTCTCTCCCCCTACTCAACCTATTGAAATTGAGATAATTCTTAGAAAGTTTCATATAGAAAATATTTCACAAATGTTTCTTATTACTTCTGGATCGCCTAAGTTGTAACGTCCCCAGCTGGCTTGAGCTGGGGACATTATTATTCCAGAAGATAAAGCCCATGAGATACTTATCTTCGTGGTTCATTCCATGGTTGCCCAGCACTGGACTGGACATAAGAAAAACAATTTGTTCAGTAAAAGTAAACAAGTGACCATTTTTGGATGCCCACTGTGTGCAGAACACTAGCAGGTACCGGGGTTCCAAAGCAAGCCCTTGCTTGAGCGCAGGAGAGGTGCAAACAATTACAATACACGGCTGTGCTCTGCGCCGAAGGGACTTTGCGGAAGACGAAACTGCGCTGTACCTCGAAAGGACCCGACCACCAAAGACGCCCCGCCCCCGTGCTGCCCCGCCCCCACGCTGCCCCGCCCCCACCTTTTCGCCCCGGCTCCGCCCAGCCCTTGCAGCTTCCGACGGAAGTTACCGACCCTGCCGCGGTTCGGCTGCGTCATCCGGTCTCGCACTTCCGGTGGGAAGATTCCGGCCGGGAGCTCCCCAGGCCGAGGTGAGTGGCCGCGCGCCCCGGCGCGCTGTCAGGGGCTGGGGGGGCCAGGGTTAGAGCGGGAAGCGGGCTCCCCGCCTGGGCTCTGCGCGCGTTGTCATGGGGCACGTCACGCCCCTGTCCCTCTCCGGACCTCAGTTGCGCCGTCTGAGGAGGGGGCAGAGATCTTCAAGCGCCCTCCTGTAGGGCACCTGCCCCACGCCGGTTCATCTAGTGTTTCCTGAGCACCTGCGACGTGCTGGGCGCGGTACCCAGGCCGGAATCGGACCTGGCCCTGCCCTCGGAGAGGCTGCTTCCCGCGGTGGGGTTGGGGCGGGCAGTAAACACGTGAGCAAACAAAGAAACGTCAGAAGTGGGAAGTGCCATGAGGATTGGGAGGGGTGGGGCATTGGGGAAAGTGTTCAGCCAGGCGGAGGTCTGCAGAAGGCAGAAAGAGCTGCAAGTAAAGAAAGACACAGGCTTAATGTGTTTGACACATGGCAGGGGGCCGCTGTGGCGGGTGCTGGGGCCAGTGGCCGAAGTATGCGGTTGCAGAGGCACGATCGTGAGAGGCCTTCCTTGTGGACCTGGCTGAGGAGTTGGGCTTAGCCTTAGGGCATGATCTGTTTTGTGTGCCTACAGCATGTCTCTGGCTGCATTATAGATTCCAGGCTTTAGGGGCGAAAGAGGAAGCAAGGAGACCAGTTAGACCAGTAGTAGTCAGCAGGTGAAAGATCATTGTGGCTTAGACTGTGGTAGTGGGAATGGAGGGGAAGAGAAGTACATGGGTCAAGAAGTGTATTGAAGGTGGAACTGGCAGGGCAGGATTTGAGAAATGATGGAAATAAGTGGTCAAAGATTACTTCATCATAGATCTTTGGTTGTGGCTTAAGTAACCAAGTGTATTATGCTGGCATGTACTAAATCACTCTGGGATAGATTGGTGGCATGAGAAATAATTATGAAATCCTCTTAAGGCAACTTAAGTTTTAGATATTTGAAGTGCAGCTACCAAATAGGCAGTTAGATTACCAGTCTGATACTTACAGAAAAGGTCAGGACTGATATAAAGAATTTAGAAATCATTGCTAAGTGGATTGGGTACGATGAGATTATGTAGCGTAAGATTTAAGAGAGAAGAGAAGCCAGGTTCCACGCTTTAGGCACCCAATTTTTGTAGATTGAGTTGACAAGAAGGTGTCAACAAAAAAGACCGAGAAAAAGTCCAGAAAAGCAGAAGAAAAACCAGGTGGATGTGTTATGGTGGCACCAAGAGAAGGCTTTTTTCTAGGAGGAGGAAGTGATCCATTGTGTAAGATAAGAATAGAGACTAGGCCTTTGCCCGGGCAGCAGGGAGGAGGTGTGGTAGGTAACCCACCGGAGCAGTGGAGATGGGCTGAAGTGAGGACAGGAGGTGAACGAGTGGAGCTGGCAGTGCGGGACCCTCTGAGGAAGTTTCACTACAAGGGGACCAAGAGGGGAGTAAGCCTCTACCATGAGCCAGCATTTAATGCTGCACCTGATGCCACTTTACTGAGTCCAGAGGTCTCTCCCTTTATAGTTGGAGAAACTTGAGTCCAGAGGTCAAGTAACTTAGGGTCACACAGTAGTGAGTAGGGACGGTAAGAATTGATTCTTGGTCTCTAACTCCAAAGCCCACACTCTTAAGCGCTAAACCATGCTGCCCAAGTTACAGTTAGGAAGACTGAGGGAAGCAGGTGCCACCGTGGTGCACCGGCCAGCCTTACCTTGATGTGACTGCTGCCCCCAGCTAAGGGGCTCTCTGTGGAAAGTGGGGCAGAATATGGACTTTCCTTCCTGAGCAAATGAGATTTCAAAAAGAGCATTTACTCCTTTAAATCTTGTTTCCCATATAAAATAAGGGTGGGCATCTTTTCAGTTTCATGTCTGTGTCTCCAATGGTGGGCCTACAGGAGTGCTTCATAAATGCCAATTAAATGCCTAGATGATCTCCAGGGACCCTTCTAGCTGAGATTTGCCTTTGTGTTTGTGGATAGGTGACTGTCTGAATCCTAATAAGAAAATGAGTTAACTTTGAGACACTGCTCCGTAGGTGGGGAAGCCATGGGGACTTCTTGGAGGCAGAGGACCTGGGCCAGGTGTGTGAAGGAAGGTCAGCATTTGAACAGTGGAGGGAGGGCTTTGCAGTGCTGCAGCAGGAAATGCAGCAAAAGCAGGAACTGCAAGAAGTTGATTAACAGAAGAGTGAACAGACTTTCCTGCCTTGGAAGCCACAGGAGGACCCATGAGGGGAGAGTGCCAGGAAGAAGCTCTCTTAGTACCAGCATGTCCTGTGATTGCCTGTCACAGGACAGGGTCAGCAGTCGTTCTCCACAGGGACCAGGTTTGGTCCCCAGGTGACGTATGTCTGTGTTTATTTATTTATTTTTTGTTTGTTTGTTTGTAGAAAGTGATTTATTTGGAGACTGAGGGAGAAACAGCTAACTCTCACACTGAGTGAGAGAATCCAGAAAGGTGGAATCCAGGAGAGGAAAGCAGCTTCCACACTGAGTGGAAAGGAATAGAGAGAGATGGAGTTTAGGAGGGGAAGACAGGCTTCCACAAGAGAGTGTGGAAGGGGACCCCAGAGGCGAAATCCAGGAGAGAGGAAGATGGCTCCCACAAAGGGAGTGTTCGTGAAAGGGGATCCAAACATGGAATCCATGGCTGTGTTTAGAGACATTCTTGGGTATCACAGTTTGGGATGGGGGGAAGGATGCGACAGGTGTCTGGTAGGTAGGGGCCAGGGATGTTGCTAACCACCCTACCATGTAGAGGATGGGTCTTCTCCCAAAGAATTATCTGTCCCCAAACAAGTGGTATTGCCAAGGTTGAGAAACCCTGGTATAGAGGAAAGAGTGTGGGTTTTGTGGGGTTTTTTGGTTTTGTTTTGTTTTGTTTTTGAGATGGAGTTTCACTCTTGTTGCCCAGGCTGGAGTGCAATGGCACAATTTCGGCTCACTGCAACCTCTGTAAGCTCTGTAAGCTGGGATTACAGGCATGCACCACCATGCCCAGCTGATTTTTGTATTTTTAGTAGAGATGGGGTTTCACCACATTGACCAGGATGGCTTGATCTCCTGACCTTGTGACCCACCCACTTTGACCTCTCAAAGTGCTGGGATTACAGGCGTGAGCCACTGCACCCAGACGAGAGTGTGGGTTTTGAGATCTGTGGATATGTTTGAGGGCCGTGCACCCCCTCTGTTGGAGGAGCTTACGGTGGTGGTCGCAGGAGAAGAAGAGAGAACTGTGTAGGAAACTGCCGCAGTCATTTGGGAAGAGGATGGTGGCTGAGACGGTAGTGGTGGAGTTCAAGAGATGTGCTCATATTTGGGGTATTTCTGAAGATAGAGCTGACAGTTATTGATTGAATGTGGGCTGAGGGAAAGAGAGGAGTCAAGAATGACCCTAAGGCTTCTGGCCTGAGCGGCTAGGAGAGTAGTGGAGCCATCTGCTGGGATGGGAAGTAGGGAGAGGAGCAGGCTTGGATGAAGCAGGGTGTGGAAAACAGGAGTCAGTTCCTAACACTGTAGATGTGAGTGAGTTGCCTGATATTGCACATCCAGGGGAAGAAGAGGTTTGGTAGGCATTGGATATTCTTCCGGAGTTCACAGGAATCAGAGGCGGAGTATACATTGGGAAGACGTCAGCTTACAGAAGGCATTAGAAGGAATGAGACTGCATTAGGTCAGGTAGGAGTTTCAACTCATTGGGTCTAACACCTCCTTTTTATTACAAATATTTTGTAACAGTCCCTTTTATTACCCTAACATGAAACAAATGATTAATAAAAACTGCTGACATATAATTTTTAAAAATCAACAATGCCCTATAACATAAAGGGAGAGTAATTGACAGTACAACAAAATATGTTTCAATATGCAAGTTCCTGAGCACAACAGTGTTGGAGGTCGCAGTGAAGCAACAGTTGCTGTCCCTTCTGTGGGGACCCTCTGGAAGTGTGGTGGCCACAGGCACAGACTGGCACAGCCATGTTGTGTTGCACCTCAAAAATCCCTAGTGCCATTGCCGTAGCTGATGTGGTTTTTCCAGAATGGGAACTTTTGGTACCATTTTGAGACAATTTTGACCATTCTTAAGTCTCTCTTCATTGTATACAGGCATTGTATTCTTGGAAATGTTAATTCACAGTAGAACCATGGAAAACCCGTGCCCTGTGTTTACATATAAACAGTTACATTCTAGGTTCAGATCATTGTAAGCTGATCTTTCCCCTGTATGAATGGCAGTCGTGCAGGATACAGAGCAGTGTTTGGTGTGTGGACTGCCCCTTCCTCCCCGTTCACCGAACGCCCGGAGAAACCCCAGCCACCAGCACAGGTTTCCAAAGCTCTTCTCAAAACAATTGTAGCCCCAGAGATTCCGTTGGACACAGCCAGCTCCCTGTTTGCCCTGGGGAGGGGAAATGGTAACACAGGTTCCAGAGTACAGAACGGATCGGAACAGCTCCCTTCAGAAAGGGTGGGAAGGGAGGTGGAAAGACTGCTCTGGAAGCCTAGGAAGGCTTCAGGAAGAAGGTGGCTTTTCAGCAAGATGGGAATGCCTCAAAGGAGGAGCTGTGGTTGGGGGGACATACAGATGAAGCAGCAGGTGTCGTAACACTGGACCTGAGGCTCCTCTGGGCACAGACAGGTCTACCCAGCATGCTCAGGGTGCTCATCAGATTTGACTGGATTGACAGGGAGGCTGGAAGTGGTCTCATTTGGCAAGACCGGTAGTCGGTAGTCGATAGAGTGTTCCAGTCGTTAGAGTGTTGGTTTCCTGCTCCATTTCTAACCCCTACAACCAGACCAGTCCCCTGAAAATCACATGCCTGCTCTCTGTCAGCCATCAAACCAAATGGAGAACTTAAAGCATGCCAGGTGTGCGTAAGGCGGGTGTGGACACACTGGTTCCCATGTGCGCTCATGGCCTCTCAGCAGACACAGACATTCATTACTCAAATCACACCCTGCACGAGTGCTGTGAAGCAGGGGAGTCATGAAAGCCACTTGTATCTCAGGGGACTGATTAAGGGGATGGGGCGGGGTCCCTGAAGAAGTGGCCTCTGAGCTGAAGATAGGTAGGGTCAATGAGGAAGAACGGAAGGGTGGGCGCGGTGTTCGTTCATTTCCTTCAGACGACAGGAAGGAAGCTGGTGTTTGGGGAGTTGAAAGGTTCCCAGTGGGGCCAGGCTCTGGAGAACCTCTGGCTGAGACCAAGAAGACCAGCAGGGCCAGATCAGGCCATGGTAGCCCAAGGAAGTCTCCCGGTCTTTATCAGAAAAGTCCTGGAAGCTGCTGAAAGGTTTTAAGCAGTGGCCTGACATGATCAGATTTGTGTTTTAAGGGGTCACTTTGGTGGCAGTTCATGGAGAGTACCTTGAGGTGACAAGAGAGCGCACATGAGTCTCTGGGAGGGCCTGTGCCCCTTTGGGCAGCCCCTCTGGAGCCCTGAGTCATGCAGCCTTCAGCGGCACCCGTGGCTGTGAGAAGCACAGTCTCTGCCTACAGCTCCAGAGCTGCCCTTTGTCCCCAGCAGCAGACCTAGGGACTGGTGAGAGCTGCATCCAGTTAACCATGGGAAGGCTCGGCACCAGCCACCAGCCCCTTAGGTGAGGACTCCGCCTGGGGCTCCGCTGATGGTTCCAAGTCATGGAGCTGCAGAGAGCTCCTCCAGCCAGGAGACGTTCTTGGTGAAAGCTGTGGTCCAGCTCTGCCGGCTCTTCCCGCACATTGTCTTCAAGAGGGGTGCCTGCCCCCGCTGACTCAGGAGCTTGGGTGCCGCAGCCGCCACGAATGGGGAGGTGGGCCCTCGATGTGGCCTTCGTGTGGAAGGCGGTGTTGACCCTGGGGCTGGTGCTTCTCTACTATTGCTTCTCCATCGGCATCACCTTCTACAACAAATGGCTGACAAAGGTACCGGGAGGCCCTGCCGGGCAGGGCGCTGGGATGGAGGTGGCCGGAGCGGTGATTATGGTGCCCCTTCACGCTTAACAGGAAGGCACAAGCTCCCACCAGTCTAACTGGAAGCCAGTCACAGCTGGGTGGAACAGGGCCCTCTAAGAGCACCGCACCAGGGTTCCCTGTAAATGTTTGGATCCAGGGGAAACCAAGGAGAGCAGGCGGTGTGAAGGGACAAACTGGGGAAACTGGGGGCTCAAGCCGCAGCTGTTGACCCCGCTAGAGAAGGATTTCAATATTTTAATCAGTGATAAAATGCAGTGGCCTGCAGCGGCTCTGATTTGGGCATAGGCCTTGAGGAGGGCTGGGCAGGTAGCTTGAAGGTGTGTGTGTGGAGATAGCCCCAGGCTAGAATTGAGTCTCTAGGCTGCAACCTGTCTTTGTGACCTAAGAGTCTGTCATTCCAAGCGATGACACTGTAACTAAAGGCCCTACACACACAGCAAGGTCCTCATGAACCACTGAATGAGCCCCACTCCAGCAGAGGGGCAAAAAGAGGGAGCTGGTGGGGGGCAGGCTGTCTAAACCGAGCCGGGGTGTCTGCTTTGGGCTCCATACAGAGCTTCCATTTCCCCCTCTTCATGACGATGCTGCACCTGGCCGTGATCTTCCTCTTCTCCGCCCTGTCCAGGGCGCTGGTTCAGTGTTCCAGCCACAGGGCCCGCGTGGTGCTGAGCTGGGCCGACTACCTCAGAAGAGTGGCTCCCACAGGTAGGTGGGGGGACCCCGGGGAGGGCAGGGCGGGAAGAGGGACTAGAGAACTAGGACAAGGACAAGAGAGACGCTCGCATGCTAGAAGTCGAGTCCCTCCCCTCTTCCTGCACTGTTCCTCCACTGCCTTCTTGGCCTGGCCTCCCTCCACCCGCACTGCTGCCTCTTGTGCACTGTGTGTCTTCCCGCTGCCCCACCACACACTCACAAACCCCCTGCTGCACCCACGGCTCCCTCGCCCCACAGCAGACACCAAGCCTGGAGTGTAGCCCTGAGGCCTGGAGATAAGTGGTGAGCAGGCAGGGTCCCTGCCCTCGCAGGGCTGTGACATGGACATGGAGGGCATCGTGGAGACCAGGGAGGGGACCGACCCAAGGCCAGGGCCCGCGGCTGGTGGAGGAAGATTTCCTCGGTCAGGTGCCCAGTAGGCCGAGGCCTGAGGGATGCATGGGACTGGCTGGCCCTGGGAGGAGGGGCCTTAGTGGCTCCAGGGAGGTTTAGTGTCAGCTCTGGGGTCTGGAAGGGAATTCAGTGTTTCAGGATGCTACGAACCTGGTGCTGGCCAGAGGAAGTGTGAGAAATAAGAACCGAGAGGATGGGCAGGGATCACATCCTGGAGGCCGAGTTCCCCATGGAGGAGTTGTATTCCATCCTGAGGGAAAAGGATTTCCAGTAAGGAATTGACTGGATCGGGTTAATATCTCGGCTCAGGGGATAGCCGGAATGTTTGTGGAAAGCACACCAGGCCCAGCCAGTCAGAATGGGCCCAGCCTTAATGCCGGGGCGGCCCCCTACCCCTTTGGAGCCAGATATTAACCCTTCAGTTGCTGGTGGAAAAGAAGGCCAGAGGGCCCTACAGGAGGAGCCGGGATGGTTCAGAAGTGGGGGGCGCCCTGGTGCCTCAGGGTGGCAGCCCACCCCAGCAGAATGTGGACCTTCCACACTGTCCTGTGGGTGCCCTTGTCTCCACAGCTCTAGCGACGGCACTTGATGTGGGCTTGTCCAACTGGAGCTTCCTCTATGTCACCGTCTCGCTGTGAGTACCGGCCATGCCCTGCCGCCTCCCTTCAGGCTCAAGCTCTCTGTCTGTCCAGCGGGCTGTCTGCACGCCTGGCCTCCAGGCCAGCCACTCCACCACTCTCTGGGACCAGCCCCTGCTCTCTCAGCCTCTCCCTGGCACCCAGCAGCTCTCCGGGAAGTCGCCAACCTTTTCCGTAAGCCCAGCGCAGAGGGGATGCTGTGCCCACCTGCGAGGCAGCGTGGGGAAGCCAGGGAGCTCACCCAGAACCCCCACCGCCAGAGCAGGGGAGGGCGGGCTGCAAGGCCACAGACAGGCGGCCGCTGGTGGGTGGTACACGCAGCCGCAGGAGAGCCCTGTGTAGCCTGGGGGGCCATGCAGGAGTTTCTTCCCTCTGATGTTTTGCTTCAGAGAGCACGGCTCCTACCTTCTCATCCTCCAACTTGTCATCCTTCCTTCCCTCTCCTGGGCTCCGCTGAGGGTTAAAGAACAGGACTCAGGGAGCTCAACGTCAGGCTGCAGCCTCTTCTCCCTGGTGATAACCAGAGGCCTCTTAGTCAGAGATTCCTTCTGATTAAAAGGCACTTTTCTGCCCAAATGACTTAGCCCAGCTTCGTTTGGTCATTTCCCAGGTTACCCCCAGGGAAGTCAGGGAGTCCACACCCACCTTTCTAGCTCAGTGATTTGTGCTCTGGCTCCTTTCTTGGTGACGGGTCTGAGCCTTGGCCTCCAGCAGTGCATTGTGGGTAATTTTTGCTTCCAGGTACACAATGACCAAATCCTCAGCTGTCCTCTTCATCTTGATCTTCTCTCTGATCTTCAAGCTGGAGGAGCTGGTGAGGCCCAGCTTCTCTTTTGTCCCTTCTGCCCCCACAGATGCTAAGAATAAAAGGGGAATCTGAGCGGTGGCTTGTCCCGCTGTGTGACAGAGGAGACAAGCCCAGCCCAGGTGGCAGTAGCTCGCTTCCTGAGAAGGGACCTAGACACGGGCAATAATGACCGAAAGAGAAAGCGCTCCAGGATGAGGGTCCCAGCAGAGCTGGGTCTGGGAAGCTCCCTGCTGTGGGAGGCAGTAGCCATGTGTGTTAGGCCCAGGGGAGGAGGTGGGGCCACTTGGGGGCCCAGGACAGTTGTCAGTGTGGCAGATGAGCAGGGCTGTTGGCATACCAGCATGGATGGGTGGGCAAGGACTGTCCAGGACCCCCTGGGGTAGAGCTGGAGAGTAGAAGGATTTCCTGCCCCAGGGGCAGCCAAGATGGCTGCTGACCCCAGACTCCGAATGTGATGAACCCTTGACCCTGAAGACCCCTAAGTTAGCTGCCACTGCTCCCCATCCTCCCAGCGTGCTGCACTGGTCCTGGTGGTCCTCCTCATCGCCGGGGGTCTCTTCATGTTCACCTACAAGTCCACACAGTTCAACCTGGAGGGCTTTGCCTTGGTGCTGGGGGCCTCGTTCATCGGTGGCATTCGCTGGACCCTCACCCAGATGCTCCTGCAGAAGGCTGAACTCGGTGAGCACGTGCCACTCACCCTCCAGAGAGAGGAACTCTGGCACAGGCAGGGTGGAGGCAGGGCAGGGCTGGGCCAGACCTGATGGTGACCGTCCCCCGCCCTGCAGGCCTCCAGAATCCCATCGACACCATGTTCCACCTGCAGCCACTCATGTTCCTGGGGCTCTTCCCTCTCTTTGCTGTATTTGAAGGTACGTTGGGCCATCCCTCTCAGGGTCACTCAGTGCAGCAGACCACAGATCCCTGCCCTGAGCCCAGCACAGTGGGAGCTGCAGAGGTTATTGAGATCAAAGATGCAGTCCCTCCCCTGGAAGCACATGGTTCCAGACAGACATGTAAGAAAATGGCTAGAGCCCAGCATGATGAATGCTATGGAGAAAGCACATGTAAAATCCAGGGAACATTAACAACAGTAAGTGTGCATGGAGCCCTGAAAGTGCAGCAGGGCTGTTCTGATCTCTTTAAACATACGAACTCATTTTGTCCTTCCAAAAACCCTGTGTGGCAGTACTGTTATCCCATTTTGCAGGTGGAACAAAGTGAGGCACAGAGAAGTAAAGATAACTTGCCCAAGGTCCCATAGCTCATAAATGAGCCAGAATATGAAGCCAGCAGCCTGGCTCCAAGTGGTCCAGCCCTACTCTTAAGCACCCTATCCTGCCTCTAAGGAGCGGGGAATCAGGGATTGTTCCAAGATGCTGGAGTAAGGAGGCAGGTTATAAAGGCTTCCCCGGCTGTGGTTTTAGAAGGTGAGTAGGATTCTGGCAGGCTGCAGGAGCCAGGGCATCTGGAAAGTGGGAATAGGAGGCTCAGCCATGTCCTGGCGTGGCACAGCAGGCTGTGTGTTCAGGGAGTGTGGGCCAGGTAGAGTCAGAGGGTGGGCTTCCAGAGTGGGGGCTGAAGGCCAGGAGCCAGCACACAGGAGCCTGGGGACATGGTCAGCTGTTCCTCGGCTGTCTTCATGGAAGAGGAGAGGCCTGGAGAATTGTGTAGGCTGGGAGGGGTGGCGCCACTTTCCTTCCTTTGATGTTTTGGATTAGCCTTTGTCCCCTTTCTGTTAATCCTTCCTCCCAGAGTCCCGTCTGCCCTCAGGGTCATTACAGAAAATTCTGTCCCACATCCATTTAAGTTTCAAGTGTTGAAGCGTCTTGAACCTCCCTGAGAAAATTATTCTGAAGCCCCGTTGTCCAGGAAACTTCTGTTCAGGGCCTCATTTTTTTCTCTCTTTTTAAAATCTCTCCCCGTTCCTTCATTATGCCCCCTTGTACCAAACACCACACTCTCCCTCCCCTCCTGGGTGTTTACACCATGCCTCATCTCTGCAAAACCTCATCTGAAAGCCCCTGGTAGTCATCACTTAGCAAAGCTGCATGGATTTAGCTCCTTTAATCTTTTCTGGTAAATTAATCCCCCAAGCGCCTTCATTACTTATGTTGCTCTTCCCCGAATTCCTTCAATTTGCAGAGGCCTTTGCAGTACTGCTGAGCCCAGCACCAAACAGGATATCCTGCACTGTGAGGCTGTTTGGCCTAGGGGGACTGTCACTCGGCATTTCTTTGGTGTTTCCCTCCAAAAATCTCAAAATACTCCTCCAGCTACCACAGGTGTCTCTTGGGCCCAGGCCTGGGCCCCCTTCACCCTGTGCTAATGCGCCATGAGGGCTTTCCTGTGGGAGGATGCTGGGAGTCCTTCTCCCGGATGGACAGTGTTGGAAGAACCATGACTCCTCTGAAAGTCTAAGCAGAATTTGGGGGGTGGGGCGTGTGCATGCCAGTGTTTCTGGAGCAAGGGGCCATGGCTTTTGTCATGTGTTTGTGTTTTCTTTTTGGGAAATGTTCATCAAGTGATGCCATGGGTTGGAGGAATACCGGTCTGGTCCCAGGCCTCTCATTTTATCAATATGGCCCAGAAAGGGGACACATCTCAGACCAAGTCCCACAGCTCTGTACTAGCAAGAGATAGATTAAAATGAACATTTGTAGGGATGGACTTTTGTCCTTGTTTGTAGGCTGACATGTAGACCAAGGAGCTTCCCCAGTGGGCCAGGGCACTGTTGGTCCTTCCTCACTTGTGGCCGCCCTACCTTCTTTGGCTCATTAGTTACCACAAATCCAATGACCACATGAGGTCAGCAGCCACACGCCCTCCTGCCAGACCAATAAGTGAATATGCAGGGCACTTCTGTCGTCTTTGTGCAGTGCCGCCCTCCTCTACTTTAGCCTGGAGGCTCAGACAAGCCCTCCCCATCATCCCACTAAGATCCTCCTCATCCCACTAGGATCTCCGTCAGTCATCCCACTAAGAT